ATTCAAGCATATATGAGAACATATACAATTGGTAAAATATAAATAAGGATAATAGATCATAATAATGGCAGCTTGATAGTGTACTATAGCATGCAAACCTGGAGTCAACCCCCAGAACCACATAAAACCAGGCATAGTCACTCATGTATATCATCTCTGCATTTTGAAAGAAGGATCAGAAATTCAAGATCATCCTTAGCTACACAATGGATGAGTTTAAGGCCAGCCTGGGATATATGAGGCCCTGTTTCAAAAACAAACAAAAAAGTATATGTGATTTCACATTTAGCCTAAACAGTTATAAGAAGAAACAGAGGGTGTGTGGGAGAAAGAGAATGCAAACATGAGTCTGGTCAGTCCAAATGATGCAGAAAATAAAAGAATATACAGCATGGGGTGAGGCAAAGACCTGATAGGAATTAAACTATATAAGACAGAAATCAATGACACTTTATGAGGTAGATGAAAAGCCTTTGAAACATCTTACTTGAAGAATATCATGATCATATTTACATTTGAGAACATTCTCTGTTTTTAGAGAACATATTGTGAAGGGCGAAGATTAAAAGTAAGGCATTTGTGAAAACAAATTTTAACTAGAATGTAGTGGGAAGTAAGAGAAATAAATGTGAGATACATTTGAGGTACAAAATCCAGGGGAGCTTGATGGCTAACAGGCAAGAGGCTGATGGGAGTGAGAACTGACTCATGGGTCTCTAACCTGGTCACTAGGTGGACGATGATATTATTAAAGTACAGACATTTGGGGCATGCTGGTTGACACCTGTAATTCCAGCAATACAGAGGTTGAGACAAGAGGATTGCTGTAAGTTCAAGGCCTTCCAGTGCTCAGAGTGAGACCTTACCAAAAAATATGGGGCAGGGGAGAAAAGAATAAAAGTTGAGCAAAAGACATCGGAAGAGATGAAAATCATAGAGAAAGGTTTCAAAAGACAAACTTGTTTGTAATATCTGACATGTTCTTAAGACCTCAGCTTCTAGATGTCTGGTAAGTTATTGTAAACATTAATATCAGGAGCACAGGAGAAAAGTCTATGCTGGGTATGTACTGAATGAAAAGGACAAAATTCTGATGATTCTGGTGTCAAAAGTGCATATTGAGGAAGACAATCCTGCCATGGAGACTGAAGACTTTCCAAGAGGTGCAAAGAAATCTTATGCCTGTAATCCCAGCACTCGGAGGTTAAGGCAGGAAGATTACCATTACTTTGAGGCCAGCCTGAATTGCAGACTCTGTATGGGAAAATCAAAACACAGATAGGAAGACTATCAGGATTATTGAGGGCAGCAGTAAGGTGACACACAAAGGAAAACATCCTTAAGTCACTGTGCCATGGTGACGTTGGGACACCAGTCTCATGGAGACTGTAATGCAACAGGGTTGAGTAGTGATTGGCAGCGCGGCTGGTATGGTCAGCATCAACAAATTTCCTTCCATAGGTTCTGTTGGGGAAGAGGAAAGGAAGTAGACAGGGAGGCAGAGGGAAGGTTTGGGGTAATGCCGCTCTTTCTCTTGGAAAGATTTGAGCTGAGTATGTGTAGGCCAGGCAGGAAGAGGCCCTGCAAGGGGTCAGGGTTATACACTAAGAAGAGTACAGAGTCTATGGTAGAGCAGGTGCCCAGGAACAATGGCTTCAGAAACAAATGAGTGGGGAATGTGTTCCTGTGGGGATAACCTGTGCTTTCTGTCACACCCCACTGACTATTCTAAAAATGCTATAATGCTTCCTCTTTCTGAAACATCTGGGTCATTAAAAACTGTAGAAAAAAAAATGCCTTTTCAAACTCCCTAGAGAAGTCTCAACTTCAGATCCTAACCAAGGCGCTTCCTTTCTGAGAACCCTGCCTGGCTGTGTTCGCCCTTCCCCTACTGCCCCTAACCCAGATTTTCAGCACAAAGGTCAAACCGCAGTGCGACATCAAACAGAAAAGTTTCCTCTGTGACTCTATGCCCCCTAAATCCCACGTGACTGGCCCACCGGCAGAGGATCAGTCATGTGCTCTGACTCACGTCTTTATGTCCACTTTGAAAAGGCAATAGGTTGATCAGCAACCCACATAGTTCAAAGGAGGTTGCTTAAAGATGGCAAGGTACTCAACTTTCTTGTCGAGCCAGTCATCGGGTTGGATGAAGAGTAAAGAGAGAACATAAGTAAAAGACCCAGGTATATTCTTAATGAGTTCACATCTCCTTCTCCTTCTTGCCAAAAGCCAACATTTCCTTTCTCCCCGCAAGGGCCTAAGGCTGAAAGCCAAAGGCGCAAATCCAAGAGAGAACGGTATTTCAGGAAACAGATGACATGAATAAATCTCAACATAATCTCATTTTCCCTTAGGATTTCTTTTAGTTTGGGGTCTGGGGTAGTCTCTAACATAAAAAAAAAAAATACGTGAAATGTATGACCAAACAATGGTGAGGGTGAGGGCGCATTTGTGAGAGTGGTGTTCATTCTGTTTGCTTCATCACAAAGTTTCTTTAAATATGTGCTCCCCTGGTGCAATTAGACATTTGTTTACACATCATTAATTATCTGGCAGAGAGGTTTGGCAGGAAGGAATATGGCCGAGAGACACAGCTGGAGAGTTGCAACCTTATGCCAAGTGAGAATCCCACAGAACCACAGATAGTAAAGCTCAGAAATGATTGGCAAGCCAGGGATAAAGAGGTCAATTCCCTGGAGCTCAGTATGGAAACACACTGAGACTTGCAGGTAGAGCTGACTGGGGAACAGTGCTTCCCTGGGCGAGATATGGCAAGAGAGAAACAGGAGCACAGGCAGGGGTAGGAAAAAGATTGATTCATTTGCAGCCTTTGAGTAAGAGATATCTCTGGGACATCAAAGCACAGGAAGGAATCTGGAAGGCAGATGAGCATCAGCACCACATTCCAGTCATGCCTCAACACCAGTAGATGACTAGAATGCAGAAAGGAGCATCTAGTGTTCTGCTTCTGCACACAGCAGGTTCTCCAGCCTGGACCATGTTCTACCCCCTGTCACACATATACGTTGAGCTTCTACTCATCCTTCTGGTATCAGCTCCAGCTATCCTCTCTGAAATGTCTTCCCTGAATCTTCAGACTGACAGGTTGTACCTTTCATGGTCAGATTACCTCTGCATATATATATATATATATATATATATATATATATATATATATATAAAACCATTAGCATGGAGGATCCCATGAAGTCTCCTGACATAAGTAATATTACATAAGTGAGTAAATGTAACAGGCTCCTCATATGGAGGAATTCTATATGTGTTTCTTCTTCTATTGTAATGAGTGCATTTGCTCCCCTGCCTATGTCCCAACCGTATCAGTGTCTCAGGACTGCTGCAAAGTGGGTAGTTTAAAACAACAGAAATGTACCCTACTATGCTTTAGTGATTAGAACTGAAGGTCAAGTTGCCAGAACACTATTCCCTCTGAGTCTCCAGGAGAAACTCTGCTTGCCTCTTCCTAGTGTCTGGAGGTGGCATTGTTTTGGTAGGCCTGCAAGTGGTGGTGTTACTCCAATCTCTGCCTTGATCATCACACATTATTCTAACTGTGTCCATGGGGTGCTTTTCTTACAATGCTACCAGCCACATTGGATTATATCTGCAAAGACTGTATTTTTAAATGAGGGCATGTTACAGGTACTGGGGATTTAGCTTTAAGACATCTTTTGGGGGTTACAAAATTCCATACAGCACCCATACATGCGATTCCCTCAAACTATAAGGCCCACTTTATGTTTGTTTCTCTCCCAACACTTAGAATCAGTTACGGGTCTGATACAGGTCAAGTGGCTCAGGGAATGTTTTTAGGACTGATAGACCATAAAGCCATACTTTCTAAATCAATATGCTGCATATTTTATGGATACAGGGGCCCACTGTGTACAGTGATCTCTGCTAGATACTTGTCCCAATCAGGGTTTCTATTGCTGTGATGAAACACCATGACCAAGGAGCAAGTTGGGGAGGGAAGGGTTTATTTGGCGTATGCTTCCATATTGCTGTTCATCACTGAAGGAAGTCAGGACAGGAACTCAAACAGGGCAGGATCCCGGAGTCAGGAGATGATGCAGAGACCTTGGAGGGGTGCTGCTTACTGGCTTGCATCCCATGGCTTGTTCAGCCTGCTTTCTTATAGAACCCAGGACCACCGACCGACCCAGGGATGGCACCACTCGCCACGGGGTGCCCTCCCCCTTCCCCATTGATCACTAGTTGAGAAAATGCCTTCCAACTGGATGTCATGGTGACATTTCCTTAATTGTGGCTCCTTCCTCTCTGATGACTCTAGCTTGTGTCAAGTTGATACACCAGCCAGTACAGTGCTCCCTTGCCTTCTGAACCTTCTCATTTAATCAAGGCCATTGATGTTGTCTCCCTACCCAGCAAATGTGGAAACTAAACAAGTCAAGGGACTTACTCACATCTGCACAGCTAATGGGCCATAGAATGGAGATTTAAACTCCTGTTTGTGTCATTTCCTGGCTCAGCTAACTCCACTGAATTCTACACTTGCTCTTAGCCAAAAGGCCAAGAGCACTGCCATCCACTACCATTTCTTTTACCCATGTTACAGTAAAATCCCTTGTAAGTCCAAACTACCTCAACTGGGCTTAGGGCAGTCCTACAGACTGGGTTGGGTTTGGACATTGGCCAGCATATTTGAGAATCAACAGCACCCCTTTATAGGTATGATAACAAAGGGGGTCAGTACATATATCATGAAAATGGAAGTAGACTACAGGAAGATTCGGAGGGGAACCTGACATTTATGGGGAGAAAAGTAATGCATCCTTTAACTGACCTTCCCTCTCCATCAAACAGGCTCCTTTCAGGGCTGAACCTTGAAAAATGCTGATGCAAGTTTTTCTGGATAGGCTAATGCCCGGAGAATGTGAGAGATAGATACCCTTCTACTGAAGGCTTGTCCCTAAAATAGCAAACAGAGAACAATGGAAGATGGAGGAAAGACTTACTAGAAGATGGAGTCCAGTGCTGAATTGGTCAGTGGCAGATGCTTTCAGTCGCAGAAGTCGTCATGTTGGCCTCAGTTTGATCACCTCTAGAATGAGAAGTTTGAGCTGTAAGTTCTCTGAAGTCATTAGTCTTGGTTTCTTGCTTCTATAGAATCTGTTTCTGTTTTATAACTCTATTTTAAGGAATTGTTACATTGCCAAGAAAAGGAGAAAAAAAGAACCTTCGGGATGCAATTTCTCTATGCCAAGGAAAAGATTTTCCCCCTTTTTTGCATGCAAAGCTCCACCGTGTTTCTGGCCTGTCTGTCTTTTTGTTCTGCTAACCCTCACAACTTTCTTGGTGGCACAAGTGCTCTATGCCATGCCCCCCTTTTTTTCTGGACACCAAAGGAAAGTTAAGTATATGCAGCTCTGATGCTAGTAAATTGCTTATGTGCCCTTGCTCTGACCCATTTGAACAGAGAGACAGAAGAGAATCAGAGGCATAGATGCATGTTGCTTAGCTTGGGGGCAATTTGCATCCCTTTTGCCAAGTATAAGCAGAGTGATTTCACTTCCTACTCAGCTTTCAGCTTCTTGAAAATGTGCAGGCCCCAAGTGAACATTTTCTGGCAGACTCTTTCTTCCTTGGATAGACACCGAGTGTCTCAAGAGGGAAAATATGCCTCATGGTTCGTGCAGATGAGATTTGCCTCCACCTGGGGAGTATGAGTGTCTGAGGAATAGCGAATTTAAACGTTTAATCTTTAAAGGTCACAGCAGCAGAGATGGTTGGCTTGGGAAGGAGAATGTTCCTCTTGCTGAGAGCCCATGTTCCAGATGACCCCTGAGCTGGCAAGTGAGACTAAAAAGAACCTCAAAATCTTCCACTGGCAACTTGGAATATGGAACTCAACCTGTACATCTTTCTATCTCTCTTTCCTTGTCTGAGCCCTTTCTCTTTTCTTGTTCTTTAAGGAATCAGGGATCAGGATTTTGGTTTTCTATTCTAGTGCCCCTTGCTCTACCTAAACCACAGTTCTTGCCATCAGATATATTGTGAGCAGCATAAGGAGACTTGTTGGTGATGGTATTAACATACCTACTAGATAACAAGCAGTGTGTCAGGAACACTGGAGGCAAAATGGGAATCATGTGGGCTTCATACCAGACTTGAATTAAGTGAGGGGCCTGACCATAAGTCCTCCTCTGAATCTTTGAGACAGGAGTAACAGGAGGCTAGAGAAATGGCTCAGTGAATAAAGCTTTCTGTACAAGGATGAAGATTGTAGTTCAGATCGCTAGAACCCACAAAAAAGCACTCAGCACTCAGGAGGCAGAGACAGGGTGCCTGGGCATGCTTGCTAGCTAGACTACCTGGAATCAGTAAACTCTAGACTCATGGAGAGACCTTGCCTCAATAAAGTAAAGAATGACTAAGGAACTATCCAATACCAACTACCAGTCCCCACATGCATATGCACACTGTTCACCCCGCCACACACACAAGCATACACATGCATCCACATACATGTGAACATGCAGACACACATGCATACATACTACACACATATACATGAAAAAGAAATAGGGGTTAACAGCAATAATCTCCCATGATTATCTTGAGGATTACAAACCAAGATCTTGGCATTACAGGGCCAGAGTAAGAGACTCACAAACTTCGTCCTCTTCTTAGATCCTCTTCTTTTGTACATATAATTTTATTTCTTTCTTTCCATAATACTAAAATGCAGCATCTTCTTCTTCCATTTTACATATAAGGAACTCAACTTGTGTAGTTTTCTACTGTATCCCAAGTACTAGGTGGTGATTCTAGCATGTAATAAGCTTTCAACAAATAGTTTAATGGTCAATGAATGAGTGTCCAGTGCACTCTTATAGGAGTTAAGACATCTTGCACTTTTTTAAAGCTAGTGTCTCAGCTAACTTAGGACATAAGGCAGAGAGACTATCACAGAAAAATTTCATGCAAGGAGATCAGAAGAAAACCCAGAAAGGGAAATAGAAAGCATAATATAATTCATCTTTTTTTATGATTGTGAACATTGTGTTTCATAATTCCAAAGGCATGTTTTAAATATACAAAATCTGAACATGATTTTTTAAAGCAGACAATAAAACCCTAAGATAAAAAGTAGAGATCTTAGTAAGGTCTCAGCTTTCTTGCATAAATCAGACTGCTCCCATCCTCTAGGAGAGATAGTGGGTGATGGCATACATGCAGTAGCATTGCCCAGCCATCAGGGAAAGAGGCAATACTACTATTTGACCCCAAACTAACTGTCCTATGGAGATTCAACCTTGTTATTACTCTGTGACCTTCTGAAAGGAAAATGGCATGAAGAATTCATAAGTAGGAAAATGAAAAAACCTACTGATAATATCTGGTACCTCCTGCATAAGACACACTCCTTACCAGAACTCTGCACATACTGCAGCATCAGGTTGACACCATGGAGCCTTATATGGCTGTCTGAGAGTTGAAAACCATGGAGTCAGAGACTTGCCCAGTGCCTCACAGTGCCTTGGGGCAGTGGAGCAGTAACTGAACCCAGATCTGGGTTTAGAGCCCAGGAGGTTTTGGCATTTCATTGCTGTACCACTATCTCTCCAGAATGAGTCCCTGAGACAGAAACAGAGCTTAGTGGCTGGAGACTATTCCATAGCCCAGCAATGTGCCGGATACATTAGCTGAGTGAGAGGCAGGATCCTTCCTCTCCAGGTACTTATTCTGTTTACCAACTGACAAAAGCTTCTCCCTGGGCATTTTATTCAGAATCATAGGTACCTATGCCCATCTCTCTCATACCCATCCTACCAACAACACAAATCAAAAACTACCCACCTCACCCTCAACTGATGATCTCTTTTCATTTATCCTTATTATATGTTTTTCTGATAATTAAGATATGATAGTAAAAGAGAGAGGAGGTTAATATTGTGTATTCTAATATATCTACTATCAATACTGTGTTGGTTTCTTTTCCTATCGCTGTGATAAAATGCCCCAACAAAAACAGTTCAAGGAAGCAAAGGGTAATTTCAACCCACAGTTCAAGGTCCAGTCCACACTGCAGAGAAGCCAAGGCAGCAGGAACTTGAAGAACGTAGTTGTGTTCCACACACAATGAGGAAGCAAAGAGCAATGGATAGAGATGCATGATACTCCTGAGCTCCCTTTTTCCATTTAGATAGCTCAGGATCCCAGCCAGGGAGACCCCATTGTAGGCAAGTCTTCCCATTTCAATTCACACAATCAAGACAATCCTGTATAGGCATGCCCAAGAGGCCCACATCCCAGCTGAGTTCAGATTCTGCCAAGCTAACAGTTATCACTAATCATCACAAGTACTAAAACAAGACATGAGAGCCAGGCCTGGTTGTGCATGCCTGTTAACACCTGCAATCGCAGTGCTGAGGAGGCAAAACCAGGGAGGATCTCTAGGTCAAGCAAACCTGGACTACATAGCGAGACTGTCTCAAAAAAAGTAAAAGAAGAAGAAAGAGTGATAGAAAAAAAGAGATAGGATGTTGTATGATAGATATGTATATAGTCATTATTCCATCATAATGTACAAGGTTAGACTTCAAGATTTTGTTTTTTGATTGCCATTTAAAGCAGTCTTGTACCAAATAAAGAAATTAGTTTGGGTAAGAAAAGAAAGACTTCACAGTGTGATATTTATTTCCATGTATCAACATACGGGATGTGAATATACGTGAACTCTAGGGTGCTTGCTGGTAAACCTACATAATCTTTCCTGCCAGGGTCTCCCTTGGACCTTCCATGGTAGTCACAATGCTCATGAAGAAGTCAGAATAAGAATCTTTGAGAATGAGGATACCAGCATCTCTCCCTCCTAGGAATAAGGGCGCAGGTCCTCTCAATGAGGCAAGAGTCAGTTCAGAGGGAACTAGAAGTAGTGTGGCACTCCACGGTTGATGGCTCTGTAAACAGCCTGTAAGTTTGAATCCTTGCTCTCCCATTACTCCTCTGACCTTGGGCAGATTACCTAACACACTTCGGTTTTCTGAAAGGGCCTAAGGATGGTACAGTATCTACCACCCAGGATTGTTTTAGAGAGTAAAGGAAAAACACAGATGAGCCTGGAACAAAGCATGCATCCCTTAATGTTCACTGCTGGTACTCTCACTGCTATTCTGCTTTTTCCAAACAATAGCAGTGTAAGACAGCCATTAAGGGACAAGAAAGGTGGGCGGGACTTCCCACAGATTTTGCTAAGTATATTTATCTTACCCTCTCTCCTTTTGGCTCAGAAAAGCCTCCACCCCAACCCTGAAAGTTGATTACCTACTCCTTGGTCATTAAGAGAGGAAATAACCAAGGAGATGCTGTGGGAACAGCTGGTAACCCCGGAGAGTGTCGAAAATACAGTGCCTCTGCCATAAGGAGAGAGTGATTTAAGAAACCTCAGATAATGTTGTCAAATCTGTGATACTCTTGGAATTATTAGCTATGGTATGAATGCTTGGAATGCTAAGATATGAACTCTCCTGTATGGCTTATTTCTCAGTAGTCTAGTGAGGAATCCAGCCCCTGGGGAAATGACAGCAGGATCTAGACCCTGCTATCGGTTCAGCTGCTTGTTCCCTCTAGGCAAAGCGTATTTCAGAACAGACCTTAGGTGAAAGAAACACAGGGAGGGCCATGTATTCTCCAAGTGACTTTAAACAACCTCTGTCACCTCTCTCTTGGTTTACTTGCATGAGACAGGAGGATAGCTGTAAGTTCTAAGCCATGTCAGACTACATAGTGAATTCCATGTCTCAAAATTTAAATATAAAACAACAACAACAACACACACACACACCTTACTAATGTGTAAAGCAACCAGTTCTTTTGTGAAAATTTACAATTTTTAGTTCTGTTTTTCATTTCTTTTCTCCAATTTTGTTGTATTTAAGGTGTAGTTAAGAGACATCTTCAGAAAAATCAGAGTTCATTGTTGACAATGTACTTTCCAGATTGGTTATCCCTTAGAATGAATATGCATACACATTTGTGCCTTTGACCCAGAAGTGAAGTCAAAGACTATCATACAAGTCTTGGCATGAATGGTAATGTGTACTCTGGCCCTAGAAGGACTTAGGAAGGGCAGACTTATTTTGAGCTCCTGTTGGCTGGCATGAACAGAAGATGACCAAACAGTTGAGATGTTCCTGTGAAAGAATCTTACCCTGTCATCCACCAGAAAAGTTAGAACCAGCAGGAGCCCAAATGAGGCAGGGATTGCCTTGAGTAGGAGCTTAGTGTCTTCAAACCAACAGCAGATTAAGAAGTCTAGTGTTTTAAGGTGAGGCTGAATCACACTTCTAGGAGGCCCATGGACTGTGTTAGAATGTTTCTGATACTATTCATTATGTTTTTATTGGTCTTTATCACTGCATGTCAACTCAGCATGATTGACAACTTGACTATTTTTCTCCTCTGTGCATTTTCTATAATTATTTCCCCTTTATTCCTTCTGCATATTCAAAACAACACTTTGAAAATGTCATCCTGTCTAGTTTTGCTAAGAAGCTACACGAGAGTGTGTATTGGGTATTGGGGTATTGGTGTCAACAGAGATAGAAACAGTCACAAAAATAAAATAAGGCGGGGCTATTAAATAGAGCTCTTGATGTTTTTTCTCTCCTGGCCTCTCTGGGTGGTTTTCTTTTCAGGATTAACAGTTTTTTTGTTTTTTGTGTTTTTTTTTTTGGTTTTTCGAGACAGGGTTTCTGTATTGTTTTGGAGCCTGTCCTGGAACTCGCTCTATAGACCAGGCTGGTTTCAGCTTACAGAGATCCGCCTGCCTCTGCCTCCAGAGTGCTGGGATTAAAGGCGTGTGCCACCAGCGCCTGACCAGGATTAACATTTTTGATACTTGCTCATGCAATAGTTTTCATAGAGAGTCTCCCATGTTCCAGGCCAGATGAGAGGGTGTAACAGTAAAGAAAACAGAAAGGGCCCTTTCTAAAGGAACTTTTGATCTAGTGGCAAGGAGACAATACTATAATACACAGATAATTTTATTCTGTAATAAAGGTCATGACAAACTATATGCAGAAGAATAGAACAGTGACCAGAACTTCTCTCTGGAGGGAAGTGAGAGCAACATGTCCAGGAGGACATTCTTGAGGAAGTAATGTTTTGCCTGAAAAGACACAGTGTGAGTTGACTCAATGAACGACAACTTCTCAAACTAACCCGCCCCCTAACTGAAATTCAGAATGTGGGCAAGTTGTTCTTTTTCAATGAAGCCCCATTTTGTTTCCTTTCTTTTCAACACCAATTCAGATATTATTTGAGTAGCATAGTAGAAGTCAGATCATTCACTGACCAACTCACATAAGTGGCCCACACCAGAGAGCCACACTCTCATTGGATGAACTTGACTATGTTCTAAATATTTGCAGGGCTTTGGGTTGCCATAAACACACCTGCATCTTTTACTTTATTCAATAAATAAATGTTTTTAATTTCTTCAAAAAATCTTCAATGAAATCAGTATGAAAGAATGAATGTCTTCAAAATAATGTTTTGGAAATGCTCACTGCAACTTGGGAAAGAGTCATAAATTCAGGACACTTGAGGCAAGAGCTCCTCTGTGGTAACTAGAACCTGAGACCACATGATTCACATTAAAGAGCACATGGATGGAAGCATTCTGGGAAACTTGATAAACAAACATCATCATAATTCAGTTTATTAAACCCAATCTGAAATAATAGAGTATTTGGAACACCTTACCCTTCACAAGAATGGGGATATGAGCTCCTATAATAACTACAATAATGATGAAGACAGCAATAATGGTAGTATAATATACTGAGGACCTTTTATCATGTGTCAGGCACTGCTCCAAGAACTTCACATGGATTATTTCATATAACACTCATAACAATCTTATGTAGTTGTATTAATATTCCTTTGAAGGAAGTTCTGCTTGGAGAGATGAAGAAATCTGCCCATGGCTGGATATAGTAAGAATAGTCCTCACATATTAGACCATGGTTTGGACCCAGACATGGTCCAATGTACATTGATGCCAGTTTTCAAGTGAAGAATTTATAACTTATAGAGTTTAAGTGGTTTCTCTGAGATTATAGAGCCATTTCAAAGCCCTGTATATTTTTCCTGAAACCAGTGATAATCATGGTTATTACTTATTGTTTGTTGATAATTTCCTGTATGTATATCATGCTGCCTTAAAATTTTCTCATAGATACTCAACTTTTAGAATAATCTGGGAATTAAAACAAAGACTCAATGTCCTTAACCCACTAATTGAATTAGGATTTCAGGGTATAAGCTACTTTTTCCATTTCCCAGGTGATAGAGATACAAAAAGAGTATGGATAACTCCTTCTTATAATCTTGTAAGCAAGAAAACTGAGGGTGTGGGAAAGAAGTAGAAATAGAAAGATCACCAATGTTTGTCAGGGCTTAAGGCTGGTGGGAAGGGTTGAACAGGTAGAGTGGAGAGGAGTCTTAGTGCAGTGAGCAGATTCTGTATGATCCTATCAAACTGGATACATGTCATACATTTGCTCAAACTTATAGAATGTACAGTGTTGAGAACGAATGGTAACATGAACTATGGGTTACTAGTGATAACTGTGTGTCCACAGAGTGACATCTGTTGTACCAAAGTAGTGGATGATATTGACAATGGATAGGCTATGCATATGGGGGGTATGGCTAAGGGGTAGGGGGAAACCTTTGTTCTTTCCTCTTAATTTTGTGGCAAATCTAGAACACTTTAAAAGTCTTTAAAAATGTAAAAAAGGGGAGACTTGAAAAGTCAAACATCACAAGAAAAAGGGCAAAATCATGAAAAAATGTGATCAATCATTAGCAGAGAGGTTGAAAAGACACGCTCCAATTGCTTTAAAAATTCACAGAACCCAGGTCTCCTCAAAATAGTATTGCAAAGTACATGAAGAATTCCAGGCAGTAATATGAAACATATTACTGTCCCACTGATGCCACTGAACATGCTTCAGCTGGCTAACCCAAAGGAGCTTGACATGAACTCAAGGCTCTGCACAGCTCAACAGGAGAGCACAGTGGAGATGGAGATGCGGTGGCTAAGCTGGCCCAGATGTGCACATGTTCTGCTCCATTAAAATGACTTGGATGAGAGGCAAAGTACATTTGGCACACAAAGAGGAAGTCAAGGGAGGGAGGGGACAGAACATTCAGCCTCATCGCAGACCTCCTTCCTCTTCCTATTTACCTCCTTCCATTTTTTCCTCCATACACTTTCTGGAGCAAAGTCTCTAAAATGAAAATATGACCATCAGCCTTCCAGGTTCCCCCAAACCAAACTGTTTTGGCATAAGTGTTAATTTCTGAACTCTGCCTGGTAGTTAATGATACTCTTTGGTGATCTGGTGTGAGACTGACTAAGTATGCACAGTGCTTTACTGTGCATGGCTTATAGGAAGCTGCAGAGGACAAGTAGATAACCCTGCTGGCATCCTGAAACAGGTCAGGTGAGGAAAAATGGGCGAAGGAAGTGATGGTGTCTTGGTAGAAGAAAGACAAGATCCTAAATTTTCCACATCTGGAGAACTGGGATGGGATTCTCCATGAAATTAGTATGGCATCTACAATACAAAAGAGTCTGCCTCAATGTAGGAAGATTTGAACATCTAGGAGTGTCCTAAAGTTTAGACAGGGTATCAAACTTCAAACACTAGATCTGAATGACCTTTTGGTAGGTCTGTTGAGGAGGGAATTCAACCATCCTTTGGTTGAACTCAAAGCTTTAAATTGCCTCTTTGAGTGTATAGTCTATTTTGTTTTGTTTTTTAGAATTTACTTATTTTTATTTTATGGGTGTAGGTGTTTTGTTTGCATGTCTGTCTGTTTTTAACCGAAGAGTCTAATTTCCACCCTTGTCATGTATCTGCCTTCAAAAAGCTCTCATTCTAGTTCTGGAGGGATAGAAAAACAGGGAATTTTGGAGGCGAGAGCCTGTCACTCCAGAATCTTATTAAAACTCTTTGCCAGCAGAGAAATAAAAAGTGCAGCACAATTAACAATTGTTTAAGGCCTTTCTCCCCTCCCAGCTATAAACACTGTAATTTTCTAAGACTCTTCACCAGATACCCCACAGACAGAGAAAGGACATGTACTAAACTCCTTGTGCAACCAACCCCAGTGGCTCTGGTTTTACCTTATCAGATTAAAATTCCATCTAAGGCATCTCCAGAGCCTTTCTATAATTTCATTTCATGATAGAGAAAAGAACTGTTTCTTAGCAACCATTTTAGATACAACTCAAGAGTTAACAAAAATGGGAGATAAGGCTAATGCTAAAACAGTTGAGACTCCTTGAGGAGCCCCTACCTACATTTGGGTGTGTGTTACTTTTTGTGATTGTCTTGCAAAGAGCACCCCCCCCAGCTCTTCGGTGAGGCTTAACTTTCTTTCCCTGAGTATGTCTCTTTTCCTAACCATCGCACTAAAGCTTACATTAAAATATCTTTAATAAAATATTCAACTCTGCTTCATAAATTAGTCCTAAAATTCCTTTTTACATGGAAGCCACAAATTTAGACTTGAGGTCCCTAAAGCATTAAAGGAATTCCCCAGTTTGTGAGGGTGAGGGGCTGTGTCACTGCCCTGTCCCACACAGTGAGGGACTAAAAGGTGCTGGGATAAAAATAGGAGACTAGTCTGTGCTTCCAAGTCTGAACCATTAGGGAAGAAGACATTTGAATAGGTTCTCAGGGATAGCTGAGGTTGCTGTGCACTGAGTGGGGGAATACTTCCCAGGATGAGGGTAAGGAACAAGCACATGGCTGGGGTCATGCCATGCTGGGCAATGTCAAATAGTTTATATATACTCTGTAATGAAGTGTGTCCAGGAAAGCGGTGAGCGATGGCATTGCCACCGTCGTTTGAGGCAACCCTCACTTAGATTCAGGGACTTGCCAGAGTGCTACCTGAAGTTATTTTTGAAAACATGGTCTGGAGTTTCATGGCCAACTTTGCATGCTCCATCTTGTGAGTTATCAGAAATTTTGTTACATATTACTATCCCTTGACTACCTTAGGAATGTGTTTCTAAAATAACCCATTTAAGGTCAGTCAAAATAAGTCATTATCAGGAGGGGGTATTTTCTGGAATGACTCGAGAGTGTAGGATAAGACAGGATGAAAATATGCATCAAGATGACTTGAAGTCATGTTCAGTTGACTGGATATCACCAGTGAGTTGATTTAAGGGAACTTTATCTGACCTGCTAGGCTTCCATTTGGGAGCTATGTAGAGTTCATTTGCATTTAAGGGAACTTTATCTGACCTGCTAGGCTTCCATTTGGGAGCTATGTAGAGTTCATTTGCATGAAGTACTCCTCAGATCACAATGAAGGGGATTTGGGAGTTTTGCTTTGTCTCCATTATGAGTGTAGCTGGTTTGAAATGTGAGCACACTGCTTAAGTTTGAAATGTTTTAAGTGTTTTTACTATAAAGTATTACCTTATTGTGAGGAATAGCAACAAGGGTATATGTGTAAGGAATATGCCCATAGAAGAGTATACTGGAAAACAAAATCTCCTACCTACTCAAGAGACTCAGAATCACAATGAGCCTTTTGGTGTGCTTGTTTTTTGTTACAGGTTAAACTCATTAAGTTAGTTTTTAAGAACATAGCATTTCATCAAGTCTATCACTTCCCTTATGCATGCCTCTATGAGAATACTTTTCTCACTGTTACCTCATTACTAAACTTTCTTAAGTCTCTCAGATTAGAATGTTAAGGTTACAAGCAGTGGAAAAGTGTCTAATTCAGACAGTAATTTAATTTTGACAACATAGGCTCCATCTGAGATTCAAGTTCTGATACATCAATAAATACTACAAGGTCCTAGGTATCAGTCCTTTTCCTAGACCACCAAGTCTACAATTTAACATTGGAGGGTGTACCCAATAAATATTGGTTGCTTGAATAAATTAATGAATGGGTGTATGTGAAATTGTGTTTATATCTCCCCCCAACAATTCACTGAGTCTCTCTCTAACAAATGCCCTGTTTGGGCTAGACAATAGGAATGTAAATAGCTCAATTTTATGCTATGCATACCCCCTGGGAAGCTACACCTGCAGAGAGCCAGGCCAACCTTCCTTCGCTGGTAGATGTGACTCCTCTGTGGGAACCAACTTTTCCAGGCTCTCATCTGCTTATATTAGAGACAGAGAAGGGACTGCTGTTCTACCAGTTCTGTTCCTGAACTCTTGAAAGGACTCCAGAAAGGCCAGCCTCTGCCCTAGCTCCCCAGAAGCCTCCCTCCATCCCTGCTTCATTTCAACGTGTGCCTGCCCAGAGGCAGTAGAGGAGATTCCTCAACGGAGAAAAAGTAGTGGGAAAAGGGGTACTGCTCCCTTAGGATCAGATAAAGTCTCTGCCACCACAGCAGCTGGGCCAACTGGAAACCTCAGATAAGTCCAGTTCTGGCCAAAACTGGTTTGGCAGCTCTGGGGGAATGTTTCTGGCTGACTGACCCTCACAGCAGGTGCTGGTAGTTTTGCAAAAAGAAAGAGAAAGGGGGAGGAGGATGGTAAAGGCACTAAAAAGGCTGTCTAAATTCAAAACACTAAACCTCGGTTCACTTGCAAGTTTACACTTGGGGGTTCACATAAAATTACTACCAGCCCACCAGCCTCAGTCCTTCCCTCACCCTCCCGTCCTTTGCAAAATAGTTTCGTTGCAATGCAGTTTGTTCTGCAGCGCGCTTGTTGAAAACTACTGAATTCGGCCGAAAGCGACTTTCAGCTGTGTTTTCTCACCCTGCAATGCTACTGTTATTATTAAGGCGATTGAATCTCCGCTCTTTCCCCTCCTTACTGCAATCGCACTCCGGCTGTGATTGCTCGGGTCTGACTTCGCAAGTGGCGGTGCGCTTCCAAACCCCCTCATCCGCCCCTCGCCCGGCTCTCCCCACTCCCTCCTTTTCCGCGCCCAGGCGAAAGCAGCCGATTGGCAGAGCGGGGTTTTCGGGAACAATAACAGTGGGGGGAGCCGGGGCCCCGGGGAGCCTCCCCGCCCCCGGCCCGGCTGCGGCTCACGCCCCCCGCGGGGTCCCCACCTCCGCGCCGCCCCGCGGGCTGACCGGCGCCCGGGCCCGCCCCCGGCGCCCACCATGTACGCCTTTGTGCGGTTCCTGGAGGACAACGTCTGCTACGCGCTGCCCGTGTCGTGCGTGCGCGACTTCAGCCCCCGCTCGCGACTGGATTTTGACAACCAGAAGGTGTACGCAGTGTACCGGGGCCCGGAGGAGCTGGGCGCCGAGCCCGAGAGCCCCCCGCGTGTCCCCCGGGACTGGGGCACGCTGTTGCTCCACAAGGCCCAGATCCTGGCTCTGGCAGGTGAGCAAGAGGGCCGGGAGGGGCATTGGGTCCGGGCGGACTGGGGCTGGTTCTGGCAGAGGCTGAGCGGCCGGGGCCGGGGAGCCACAGCTTGCTCTAGCCTCCTGTTCCTGCCCCTTGGGCTTTCTTTTGGGTACCAGGTGTCTCTAAGAGGCCAGACCAGTTAAAAAGACCCGAGGGTCCCCTTTGTCTTCCTTGCTTCCCTGACACTCCCGCGCCGGGCTGGGCTGTCAGCCTGCCTTCCCTACCCTCTTCTTTCTGACTCTTTTGTATTCTCCCTGCCTCTTCACTTTCCCTTCACTAGCTGCCTCCCCTACTGTCTTTTCTCCATCTCGTACCTTTACCTCTCTCGCAGTTGCTTTCCTCTCTGTTGCTCTCTACCTTAAGTTTCTCAAACTGTCCCTTCCTCTCTCCCTTTAAGGCCCTTGGTGTCTTCTTGGAGCAAGAAGCAATTTTAGGTCCTTCAGATGGGAGCTCTTTATCACAGAAAGAATATCTGACACCTCCCATCATTAGGACTAGGAGGCCCAACTAAGTGGCAGAGGGTCCTAAGATAGCCTCACACCCCTTTTTGCACCTCCCAGAAAGCTCCCTGAGAGAGGTCAGAGTAGGGCCTGACCTCCTAACCATGATCGCACACAGGGTCAGGGAGAAAGACTGACAGACAGTTTCTAGGTTGGTGGGTAAAGATAACAGAGATTTGGTTGGCTGACAGAACAAGACAAGCCTTTCACCTTCCTGGACTGTGCCATGCAGAGGCACAGGGTTCCTCTCCAAGCAGACAGTTGGCCTTCTTTCCCAGCCACTTGTAGAAGGCTTGGGTGCACCCCAAGCAGGGAAAAGGAGCTTGCCACTTCCATGGGGGCGGGGTGGGGGTGTGTAACAGAGATGTGGCTGCTACTTGTAAAAGTGCTGCCTTTGAGTAGTTAGAGACAGAGTCACCTTCCACTCAGAAGACAACCCCAGGGACTAGGACCCCAATGAAGACGGTCAGGATACTGTGGTTTTGACACTTTTCCTACTTTTTCCAGGGTCCTGTGTCCTTTCCTTTAGCCTAAAGTGGAACCTAGCATGAATCATAGTGACTTGCCCAGGATTCCAGGACAAGCTGAATGGAGTTCAGCCTCATGGCTGAAATCTTTCTAATTCCTCTGGAAAGTAGGTTTGTGGTAATAAGGGAGCAATAGATTTGGAGATTTGGAATGGATCAACACCATGAGGGGGGCCCAGAGCTGTAGGTCCACTCACTACCAGACACCAAGGTCCATGAAAAATTGAGTGAGGGAGATAGGTTTTAGAACAGAAACTTTCATAGCTGATTGGGTTTTATTTGCTTACTTGCCTTTAATTACCTAGGAAGGGATTAGGAATTTATTCAGCAAGAGGAAAAGCCCAAGGAAATTATAACTGTGTGTAACCTTAGCTTCCCTTTTGCTAGAAGAAAAGAGAGAGTGCCTCTTGATGATCCTGTCACATATAGATCTGGAGGAGCCCATGAGAGTAGATGGGATGAGTATCAGAAGTTTGTGGTAAAGGCCTTTCCTGGTTTACAGGTTGTTGATCGACTTATATGTCCACTCAGACATCCATTCATCCATTCAGCAAGTGTAGATACATGTAGTTCTTCAAGAACTACAAGAGACTAGTTAGGCAGGTGGCAGCCTTCACCAACTCTTCTTTTAAAGTCAACACAAGTTGCAATGAGACACTAAAATATGTACATACATGCATACATATGCAAGAACCCTAAGAAACTCAGAGTAAGTATGGTACCAGTTTCAGCAAACTGAGTTAAAAAGTCCTCCTTCTCATCTCCAATGTTTTCCTTAGGAGAAGAAAAGAGGTGGGTGAGTTCATGACAGGGAATGGTGGGGACAATGGCAACTTGAGGTTGGCCAGGCTACATTTTGAATTCCAGTAAGCTGGTTAATTTTTAAATTGAAACTGTTTTTCTTGGTGCAGACCTGATTGGAAGGGCCAGTGTGAACCTGGGAATTCATGTATCCTGGAAGGACCCTCCCTTGTGTGTTGAGCTTGGTGGCTCTGAAGCCTGCTTGAAGTAACTTCACCTGAAAAGAGCTTCTCTGAGCCATGCAAAGACCTTGCTATTGTCTAAATGCAATTAGCCTCCTTGTGGGGCTTAGGGACTCAAACAAAACTGGTTCCTGTAGGCTTTTATCACCTTGTGAGTCCTAGGAGCAGAGTTGTGGTATAGCACCAAGTTTGGGAAATTAGTTCCTCGAGAGGAAGGCAGAGGTGGCTTTGCAAGTGTGGACTGCTCCTGGTTAATTAATTAGTTCTGACCTCAGTAGTGTGGTTTCAGAAGACATTTCAGAACCACTTATGACATTTGCTAATAAGTGTGTTAACTTTGCCATGTGTTTGTCCAAGCCAACCACTGTAGCTGTCTTGAAGTAAACCCTTTTCGGAACCCAGGAAATGTCCAGCCAGCTACAATGGTACTTTACACCATGATTTCAGTGTGTCACACCATCATTCATGGCTTCCTCTGCACCAAACTACAAATACCAGCTATAGTAAAAAACAAAGCCTTCCCTCCACCCTGTGCTTTGGTCACAGTCTTGCTGTGTCTAGAACCTGTGGTAGACATTACCTTGGTTCCTGTTTCCATTTTATAAACGAGAACACTGCATGAAGCTCAGAGAACTCCCTGCAGCCATATACAAATTAAAGCAAAGCCAGAAATGCAGCACGGATCTTCTAGTGCCAGCCCCTGATTGGCAATCTCCTTTGCAAGGTGGCTGATGAACCAATACAGCATGGCATGGAAGGAGTGAAAGGAAGGGGAAATGTCAATGAAGTGTAGCCCAAGGCAAGTTTTCCAGCCAGAGAACAGAGTTGGTTTTGAGTATTCAAACCTACGATGCTCTTCTTGCTCTGTTACCCAACCAACCCCTTTTCTACAGGAACAGAAAACTTCCACACACTCTCAGCTCTCGTCTACTTGATGAAATCCTCTCACAGGAGCTCCTGTCCCTTAGGAAGGGACAGGCTCATTCAAGGATCCACTCCCCTGTGAGCTGTGGTCTCTTCTTACTTGCATTTACTTGCCACACAGACTGTGCAATTGAGAACTTCCCCTGCAAAGACCTCACTATTGTCTAATTGCAATCCAGCCTGCTTATGGTTCCTGTAGGCTTTTGTTGCCTTGCAATCCTGTCATTTTTTCTGGGCATCTATGCTGTGTAATTAGTGCTTGACTGCCCTAAATTTCCTTTGTGATCAAGTGTGTCCTTACTGTTTCTTCCAGGCCAGACCCAATGCAGTAATACATGACTACACCTGTGCACAGAGTCTAAGGCACCATGATCACAATGATGGCATGACCCATGGAAGACAGTCTCTCTCTCCTCTCTCTGTTTTTGTTTGTTTGTTTGTTTTGGGGTTTTTTTTTTGTTTTGGTTTCTCAAGACAGGGTTTCTCTGAGGCTTTGGAGGCTGTCCTGGAACTAGCTCTTGTAGACCAGGCTGGTCTACAACTCACAGAGATCCACCTGCCTCTGCCTCCTGAGTGCTACCTCCCGGCCTGGCAGAAGACAGTCTTTTTAAGCCCAGTCACATGGGATCTCTGTGAAGGGGGCAGAGTGATGGATGAAGACTTAAACACTGCCCTCAAGGAGTGTGTAGAAAGTGTTAAACAGAGGGAGAAGCCAGGCCCAGGAAGCATAGTGAAGGGACCAATTCTAGGAGAGTTTGGAGTTTTTCTTTTCCAGATCTACAAGCATAGGCTGAATTCAGTCTTGCTTAGGCTCTTACTCTTGTAAACCCCTGCAGCAGCCTACTAATTAATAACCTAGTGTCCAGTCCACTGTCTAGACTGTGTTCAGAATGATCTAAACCTCCGTCTTACCAATTAACTGCTGTCCTTGGAACCTTCTGTAGCTCCCCTCTGGCCTGCTTGGTAAAGCTCAAGCTTCTTGGCCTGGCATTCGTATCCCAGCAGCCCAGCCCCACTCTCCCTCTCCAGACTCGCCCCTCCAGCGCCGCCAGTGCTGCTCGCCCTAGACTTGAGGAATCCCTTGCTATCTGTGAACACATACTCCTGGGTCAGCCACTGTGGATTAATCTTTGTCTGACTTGAACCTCTGTTTAAGTGGTTTAACTTCCATTGGAGAAAACAGACTTGAGATCCATTGTTGGTCCAAGTGGGCAAAGTACACTGGGAGCAACCAGCCTTAAGGGCATTGCCTGTTCCTGCCTCTGCCCCCAAGGGAGATTCTCCCTCCTCAGAACTCTCTTTGAACTGTACTGGCTCCCTGCTTTTGACTTGTAGCATTTTAAGACTGTTTTGGTTAGTCAGTGTTCCCGCCAGACAGTGAACTTCTCCAGGGCAGGGGCCTGCTGTCAAGGGCTGTGCATCGACTTGGGCCAGGCTGTGTTGTATTCACATGCTTTTGTTGTTGTTGTTGTATGATAGGAGATAGAGGAGACTGGACCCTGTAAGCCACAACTGGGTTTTGTTTTGATTTTAGAACAGAAACCTGCAATGGGCTTTTGAGGTTTCATTCAATTTTATTCATCTGGAAAAAGTCAACATTCTTTATCACTCCCTCGACTAGAAGGAACCCCACACTTGGGGAAAATAAGTCCCAAAGCCACGTTCTTCTCTCTTTGGTAATTTTAGCTCATTCAGGGCTCAGGTCCCAGCTTGGCACTGTCAGCCCAAATAGATCACTTGCTCCAGAAATGCTTTGGAACTTCTACAGAGCTAGCAGCGAAGCAGGGGACTAGCCAATTTCACATGCAGAGATTGTTGCGTGTCATCAGTGGGAGAATGCCAAGGAAAGGATTGCTTGCTTTTTTTTTTAAATAAGCAAGTGAAAACTTTTAATTTAGGTTTTGACATGTTCTGCTGATATACACTAGAGCAAAGATTGGGACTTGCCTGCTGTCGTTTATTGCAGTTCCTACTGGAATGTTTATCATTGAAAGTTGAATCTGATGTGAGCTTTAGTGCAAGAGCACTAAATAATGTGTACT